CTAGTATCTGATGATTATGAGATGGCTGAGTTATTAAGTTTTGCTTTTTCTTCGGTTGTTAGTAACGTAGGTTTAAGCAGTATTTCCCATCTTAAACAATAGATAGATGGAAACAAGATCGAACTAGACTGCATTAATTCTGAGCTGGTTAAGAAAAAAAAATGGGAAGTATATATAAAAAAAACAATAAGGCTTCTGAGCCAGATGATATTCCCAAAGGATTTTGAAGGAGGTTAAAGATTAGATATTTGAACCACTTACTACTATTTTTTATCAGTCTTTGAATAGTGGGCAGGTACCAGATGATTGGAAGATAACTAATGTAACTCCTCTTTTCAAGGGAGGTGATAAAAATTGTCTCAGTAATCATAGACCCATTAGTTGATTAGTTGTGGGAAAAGTTTTGGAAAGTCTGTTTAAAGATGCTTTGCTAAGTCATTTAACAAAGTTTACAATTTTACTGGATAGTCAACATGGTTTCATCAAGGAAATTATTGCCCTACAAGGTTACTGCTTAGATGAGGGTAAGGGTTTAGATTTGATGTATCTGGATTTTCAGAAAGAAGGGTGTGAAGAGGATGCTGCTGATTTACAAAAGGATTTAGATCATTTAATGAGTTGGGCAAATAAATAGCAAATGGGTTTTAATTATAAAAATTGCAAGATAATGTATGTGGGTTATCATAATTTGAATTATAAGTATAATTTGGATGGGAATAACCTTAATAGTGTTATGAAGAAAAGGGATCTTGGTGTAATAGTCGATCAGTCTCTAAAGCCATCCAAACAATGTGCTTTTTCTACTGGTAGGGTAAATAGGATTTTAGGTTATATCTACAGAATTATTGAATCTAAAGTCTAAACATGCTATGATTTCATTGTAGAAGTCACTGGTTAGGCCACGTTTAGAATATTGTGTTCAGTTTTGGGCTCCTTATCTTAGGAAGGACATTGAATTGTTGGAAAGGGTTACTGGTACCTGGGATAAAGGGGTTGTCATACAAGGACAGGCTGAAATCTCTCATATTGTTTTCTCTTGAAAAACGAAGAGTAAGGAGGATCTGATTGAGGTGTTTAAGATTGTAAAGGGAATTGATAGTGTTGATGTATCATCGTTTTTTTCATATTTAACAGTGTGAATAGTAGGACTAGGGGACACAAATTTTGGCAAAGTAGGGGTCGTCTTCAGTTAAGACAGTTTCATTTTTCTAACAAGAGAGGTTCTCATTTGGAATGGGTTGTCTTCAGATGTTGTAGAAGCAGTAAATTTAAGTGAGTTTAAGAAAAAGCTTGATAAGTATATGAATGACAAGGGCTGGCTTCAAGATTTTTTTATTATAATTATTTTAATTTAGTTTAGAGGATGGAACAGCTGAGGTGGCCTAATAGGTCCCATGTTGTCCTAAAACATTGTTATTGATCCCCGATGTGCATAGCACAAGCTGTGATCATCCAGCTACCCAAACAGCATACCACACCACAACAGAATACTAATAAATTCTTTATTGGCTTGCAAAGGTGAGTATTTATGATAGCACCTGTAATGGCCAATATTATTGACATTTATTATTGCTCAGAGTGAGTAGTGGCTTCCTTCTAGCTATTCTGCCATTGTAGCTCATGCTATGAAGATAATTTCTGTTGGTATTAGGTCACTTGCAAATGTCCTGCAACAGTAGCAGTGCTTTGATGTGAACCATTCTTCATATATCTCCTCAGAGCACAAAGATTACATTCCCTTTGTTTTGGCTGCTTTCATTGTGCAGAATCTGTGACTAAAACTGCAGTGCCAGTCTGTTCATTATGGACAGTTTCTCACCGATTTTGACCATCTTTCTGTTGCCCAACTATCCACCTTCATGAAAACATGGTTAATTCCCTGGATCCCTTCATTCATATTTATATTATTCTGTTGTCTAAAGATGATGAACTTGTATTGTCAGGGGTATGAACTTGTGTGTGTGTGATTGATTTAGTGGTATTTTTTAATCAAGGTCTCAATTAACTTTAGTACAGTGTCCTCAAACAATGGTACATATAAGGTTGGTGGTAGATGCTGCTAGCCAATTAACTTCCCTCTAAGTAAGCAGTTCAAAATTTGTAATAGTGGCAGATAATCTTAGTAGCTTTGTCATAACAAAGACATAGTGAGCAAGATTAGTGGCAGTATCTGGTGTTGTTGGAAACCCCCACTTAGTTTACAAAACTCAAATTAGTGTAATGGCTGCTGATAATTAATCAGTTAAATTACCTGTCTTTGTTATCAAATGTGTTAATGTTTTTGGTGGTGTGCTTTTCCAAGACAAATACTCACTTCTGCATTGTTCCTTGTTTTATTTTATACTGGTGCACCTGTCATATTCTGAAATTCAATTTTAGTTGAAGTTTGTTTGCTTGCCATATCACATGTCAATTAGTGGTTAAGAAATGGTCAGAACATTAGATGCTTTATAGCACACAAGAAAATAGGTAAACAGAGCATGTTTGAGGATTTACTTTCTATCTGATTATAAATATATAAACCAAGGCTGTAATCATAATATATCACTCATCTTAATTATTTCACTGTATTTTTTCTGAAATAGAGGACTGAGCTAGTAAACTAGTTGTCTTTTTATGCACATATGCATGTTCAAGACTCAACACAAAGAAAAACATGAGTTAATTGTAGGATTTAAGAAATAGTCTCTTTCTCTCTGATGATAATTGAAATTTGTGTAAGTGTATGTTGTGTACAATAGATATGTGTTTTGTTTTTAATCTGATTTATGTTAATAAACTGAGATTTGACATTTTTTAACCAAACATATTGTTAGGTCTAGTAATTTCTCTTTACTGTAAATCAAAAGATACATCACAGCACTACTGATTATTTCATTTTCTTAACGTATGTACGAGTGAAATTAATGGCATAAGTAACCATATTCATGGTTTCAATTAAGGTTTGATTGTATTCAGTTAGTCATATACATATATGCAAGTTTATGAAAATAAGTAATGAACTTATTTAAAATTTTAAAATAATTAAACTTGTTCAGTCATTTCATTTAACTAGATAGTTTATCGGAGAAGTCTAGCAGGAATCGAAGAAGTAAAGAGGACACCCTTGGGGAACATCTGAATATTATTATGTGTCATTTGCTGATAGGTTATGTTGTGCATTAAGTCAGATATTTGAACTAAAGTTAGTTTTAAATGTTTAATGTTAATTTTGAATAATTTAACATGTTTCAATTAAACATCATTCATCATCACTCATGCAGTTAAAATATTGATTTTCAGTTTGATTGTTAAAATTTCTCATTCACTAGGGAGAGGTGGCAAACAAGGAGCGGTGGAGAGATGCCCAACTTGCAGAGGAAGTGGTTTGTACACACGTATTCAACAGCTTGGACCAGCCATGGTACAGCAAATCCAGACAATGTGTCCAGACTGTCAGGGACAAGGAGAACGCATTAGTCCAAAGGATAGATGTAAAGCCTGTCAGGGAAAGAAGGTTATAAAAGAAAGAAAAGTGTTAGAAGTTCATGTTGATAAAGGTATTGTTACAAGTTTTAACGTTATTTGCAAATATTTTAAGGTAAAGATGAATAATCTTGTGGTTTCTAGGTGTACAGTTGCATAATCAACTTCACCAAAATATTTAAGATTTTATAAATATATAGAGCTTGGATTTGTGGTGTGTGTGTGTGTTAAATGAGTGACAAATGAATCATTTGAGACATAAAATAAAAACTACTTGTAGAAATTCAAGCCAAAACTTTTTATTGTATTGCATTATAATATGCTACAGTTATTTATGAAAGAAGGGCTAATTTTGTTAGAAACCATTGTAAAATAGGTGGAAACAAGTCATCAGTTTCTGTACTGATCTGTCTTGGTTTATAAAGAATACAAGCTGAGGTACCTGTCCTTTGTCTGCATTATGAACTTTAAAAAAATGTGGAATTGAATGCTATGATAAATAACACAAAAATCCTAATTTTCACTCTATTTAATTATTTTATAACATAACATATTAGTGTTCATTATTACCTCACCAAAGTTTTTTTATAAGATTTAAGAATTCAATATGTATATATTTAAAACATGGTATACACTGTGCAATGGTCAAGGTGACTTTGTAGGAAGAGGTAGTGGTGCTTTTTTACTCACTTTTAACACCCACCTATTAATGTCCTTCCAATTAATTGACACTCATTGGCTGCAGAAGTGTCTTACAGGCTGGAATTCAGAGGTGATGCATCAAAGTAGGAAGTCTGTATAACTCAAGAAATGGCTCCTCGTATCAGCCTTATGGTAGCTGTTGTAGTAGAAACTTCAGCTAATGCACTCTGTAAGATATAAAAGACATTTGTGTGTCCTCCCCCATACTTTGTGTATGTTGTGTTACAGAAAATTTTATAATTTTGTGTGTGTAAGGATGTGGCACTATCTATGGAGTTAAGGTTAACTTATGTCAAAGATAATAAATGCTTAATAACAGCAATAATGGAAGGTAGAGGGAGTTGTTAACCCCACATTAACATGTCCCTTGTTCCAAACTATCATTAATCTTACCCTTGCACTGTCTGAGGTTTTAATTTATACCCTTATAAAATACCCTGAATTATTACATACAACACTGATATCTTGTAAGAGTAGAATTTACTTGTGTATCAACAAAAAAAAATTTTATTTAAAAGTGGTTTTAAACTAATGTTGTACAAGTCCTATTTTGGATACTGCATCAAAGTCTAAGAACATCTTGAGGATTCTATTAGTGAGATTTCCTGCATAAATAGTATTTGTTCACTACCATTATCAAAATTTGACAAATTTCTGCAATGTCTGTTACAAATTGGGTGAAAAACCTTAAAGTGAGTTTGACAAGATTTTATTTTCAGTTTTTACATTTTGCTTTTTTTTTTTTTTCAGGCAGAATTTATTTTCTCCAAGTTTTCAGGTTTTTGTTTTTCACTAAGATGTTCAGGTCAGATTTAAATTAAAATATACTCAGTTAACTCTTTCAGCACAGGCTGATGCAGTTTGCATCAGTTTGACTAAGGAGGGACATTTATTTATTTAAAAAACATACGGTAACTCTGAGCATTCCTCACAAAACCTCTAAAGATTTTGTTAGTTCATAAGTATTTTGTACACAAAGAATGACATTATTATAATTACTTTTTCTAATAATAATGTTATTTTATCTACAGTAATTTGCACTCAAACTGTTAAAATAGTTTGAGTACAAGGCGATTTTCATTTTAAGTATAAAAAATACTTTATTTTATAGTTTTCATATTTTGTTTGCATAACCTCTGGAACCTCCTAAATGAATATCAAAAGTGTTTTTTAAGATAAATGATTGTCTTTTATTTTTCATTTTCTCTACCATATCACTAACTAGCTATTATCATGTATGTACGTACAATGCAATGAAGTAATTAAAATTAGAAAATATAAAAGTAAAACCTATATACAATTTAAACTGTAACTATAATATATTTAGGTAAGAAACAACCGTAAGTGCTATAGTTGATCAAGCAGACAACAATACTATAATCAGTTACATGTATTCTGCGATGACAACTGGATACCAATTTCAAAATAACCATTATTAGATTATAGTGTAAAATAAGCTCTTTAATGACTATATGCATGTGTATGTAACATCTACATATAGGCTACAAGGCTCAAACAAATCTATTGCATGTCAGGGGTTGAAAAAATTTATTACTTATTTCAATTTAATCATTCAGAGAACTCTGAAATGTACGAGTCAAAAGGTTAAGTGAACATCTTATAGTATAGACATAATTTACAGAGCTGCCATTGTATTAAAATTTTTGAATCATAACATAAATTGTTAATTTAAATTTACTTCATGTAACTTGATAGTAAAAGTGTTTAACCCTATCGTCAGGGTCAAAGGCCATGTCATCGTGTTATTGACTTGCATTCAAAATTTTATTGAACTATTACTACTATTTTATGAATTTATATTATTAAGTTTGGTATCAAACTGTAGATTATAATTCAGATTTTCATATTATACATTATTTGATTACTTAATTTAAAAGTAAATATTAAAAAACACACCTAAACATCGATTTAAGTCGTGGTATGTTGAATGCAGCACTGGTTCAAATTAGATGTTTGTCAAAATACAAAGTTTATAGTTTTGAATAAATTGGGAAGTCAAATTACTGAAATTGACAAGCTAGAATATAAAATAAGAACCTCCTATCTTTTCTATTTGCTGAGATATTGCTCATGTACTGAATCAAACAGTGGCCTGGCTCACCTCTTTCTATTTTTGGAAATGCTCCCTTATATACACTTACTTATCTATATGACGTGAATAATCAATCGAAAGCTCAGAATGTTCCTCTAATGGCTTTTTTAGCATTTTTCAATATAGCAGTGTCATCTTTCTTTCGAGTCAAACCTTCAAGCTGGTAGGTTGAGTCTTTAGCTTGTTTGAAGTTTCATATTTTTTTAGACCCAAATACAGCTTAATTACTAAACTTGATAAATTATAATGGAATTCTATGGTATCAATATTGTAATGTATGATTGTTTGGTTATTCCAATGTATATATATAAAACCTAAAAAAAAAAAATTTAAATTTCACATCCTCCATGTGCAAAAATTTCTTAAGACTTAGCAAGCTACGACAAACATCAACCGAGTACGAAAGTTGTAACAAGCAGAGATAATTGTTTTGCTTTACTTCTTCATTTACTGTTCTATGTTTTAAGAAAAATAAGTTTAAGAACTTGTTTGTGAATAGTAATAATCTATATATACATATATAATGTATAATAATTGTAATG